TTGCAGATTTCTTTGCATTCTTGAGAGCTATCCTGCCTTGAGGAAACGGTTTTGCCAGTTTTCCCTTTTACTAGAGTTAAAAAACACCCGTGGACGTTCTAACATTCAAATCATGATCCCTTTCTTCTGCAGCCTTCCAGGAGTTAGTCTGTTTTAGATTTTTCTTGACTCAAGCTGCTTTTACCTTTTTTTCAGTTCATTTGATCTGCATTCCCAACATCACTCAGCAACCTCTAGACAACTTTTTGCTTTCAACCAAAGTGGGCATGGTTATGTCAAAGCAACTAGCTAGAAATGTAGTCAGGATCATTGGTGCGTGTTAATTATAGCCACACCCTTGCTTAAATCAAAAAAGGCTTGTAACTGAAGTGCATTGCAGTTTATTGAAGTAAGGGTCTGTGGAAAACCTGGTATTTGATGGATTTCTCCCTGCAGAGTTGTAGGATGTCATTGCAAATAGACAATTTAAACATGCAAAAATCTAAACCTAAGGTCCACTCACTAGACTTCTTTAAGAGTTTTCAGCCACATGCCGTGGTGTGCTCAGTGTCCTGCTATCAACTAACCCCTCTGTCACTTTCTTTGCCACAAACGTTTCTTGTATGAAGGCTTCAAGTCAATATAGTTTGGCTCTGTTGTTTTGTTTGCTTTGCAAATATATTTGCGCAGTGGATTTCTGGGTCACCAAAAAAATCTACATACTAAAACACACCAAAAAGAAAGTAGACATGATGATGATGAAAGGTAGAGTACATGTCAAACAGCTGTTTTCAGTGTTATACTGAAGTGATTAATGTGATTTTGTATTCCAATCGATTAATATTATTAAACTCACACCTGGACCTTATTTAGTTCTTAAATTATTAACAAGAGCTAACTTTCAGTCTTTACAAACAGTTTGAGAGACCCGCTGAGACATTTTTGCTGTGCTCCTTGCTGCTACATAGTGACACTAAAGCACTGTCATACATGTTCATTCTCTCAAGTCTTCAAAAATAGACTCTTTTTTCTGTCATCTAATGTGTGTACAGGAGGTGACTCTCTCAGAGAGTTTTCATCGGCAACAAACACCAACAAACAACAGCACTTGTGAGGAGAACTATAGAGCACAGTGTGAGAGTACTTGTAAATTGGAAGTGATGGGTCTAATTGATGTGAGAACATACAGCATTTCCCTCTCTCCTTTCTCTCTCCTATCCACTAACTCTCTGTTTATGTAGCCTACTTCTCAAATTGCGAGAGGTGCTCGGCTATGAGCTCTGCCATTTTCTCCTCTGAAATCCTCGACGCGCTCGTCTAAGTCCCACACTTCTATCAACACTTCCTCTCCAGCTTGTCAATCTCAACCTTCTAAAGTCCTGGTCCACATTTAATATATTAAATGAACGAGGGGGGTTGAGGTAATGTAAGTAATACGATGTGAGGAGCAATGTTCGCAAGCAGTCATGGCATGTACAGCACTGTTTGAATAATGTAATACTTCATGTTTGATAATGCATGGCTATAGATAGGTCTCCACTGCAGCCAAGTATTGATTGCGTTAAGCACATCTACAGTACAGCAAATGGTGCGGGTTCATATCAATCTTTACACAGCGTACTGTACCTCAGTAACCAGATACCTTGTCTGATTACAGAGACCTCAGGGCCACTGCTGCTGTTAATGACATTTATTGATAAATCCAATTCCTGGGCCAATTTAGGGAGGTGTGGTTTAATACTACAGACGTGTGAATATGTGTGTGTGGATCCGTATATGTGTGTATCTGTTATGTGTCAGAGTGCAAGTAGATTCATGCGCATTGTAACCCTTTTCCCCTCCTCTGGGCATACTAATGAAGAGACGGCCACTCCAGACGTGCAGCGCGTGCCCTACAACAGCTCCCACAGATTCAGGGGAGAATTTCGATATTAATGATTTATGCTGTATTTGCATACAAACCTAATGCAAACCCACTCCAGATAATCACATTTTGCCAGGTCTGAATTGAGTTTTCCGGACGTCTTTGCTACCCCCACCTTCTCCACCCACCAAATAACGGTGGAATGTGTGGCTGTTGCTCTTCACGCTGCGGGTGACCCCCAACACAAGGGGTTTACAAGTGGACACATAAAGAGGGACTGTAAAAGTGCATTTTACCAAGTGTGTCTATTTTCTCATCCAGGCTTTATCATGCAACTGTAGTGTGTGTAGCAGAGCTGGCAGCAGTCACAATAGTAGTAGTGCCAGTAGTAACAATGGCAGCATCAACAACAGTGCTAGAAGTAAATTTACCCAAGTACTGAAGTTTGAGATACCATTTCCATCTAATGATACTTTATAATTCTACTTCATGCATTTCAGGGACAAATACATTATTTACAATACCAACAAACTACTCCACATAATTAAGTACTTAAATATCTACCTTGGCCAGCTAGATCATTATAATACTGCTTACACATGAATGCATTAGTATTAATAATATGACTCCACGATATGGTAAAAACATCATATTATGATTATTTTGACAGATATTGGGATATGTTTTTGTTTTTGTGGGCATGATCATTTCTGCATCACAAAAATGCCATATTGCGATTTCAATATTTTGACAAATTGTGCAGCCCTGATATAACATAATACAATATAATAAATTATAATATAATATGATAAATTATAATATAATATAATAATATGAGCTTTGACAATATTCATAACAGTAGCCATTGTAGTTTTACTAGCAGTTGTGAATGCAATTAAAGTAACAGCAAAAGTAAAGTTGTTTTTGTAACAGTCTTAGCAACAGTACTTGTGGATGCAGTGGAGAGACTGCAATAGCAGCAACCTTCATAATAATACTACTACAAATTATTGCTATGGGTTTACATGGAAGCTACAGCATGCAGTCTAACACGGGGTTAACACTGACAAACACACTCACACTCATACATATAGGAAACCAATCGCCTCCAGTTCATTTACTTGCATGGACTGTGAAGAAACCTGAGCTTCCATAGGAGGCGTGTGTTGAGAATGACCCCTCACACCACTCTAGCATCTTCCTTTCAAAGTATCATTCTGGTTCATAGTGAATTAAACTTGCCCTTTGCTACTCAGATACGAATACATAAAGCTTTTGAAATCGGTAACAGGAGCTGTAAGAGCTTTGCTTGGCATACAGGATAGGATACAGTGTTGTATCATCTGATACATATAGTATATCATTGTAGCAGTACACACAGATAGCTGGTGAGTGGGATGGGAGTGCAGTTTGGCAGGGCAAGTCACCTAAGGTAAAGTCACACTAAGTACAACAGCTCACTCATATTCATATGCAAACACACCACAGCATGTCTTGATTTTACTTGTGTTTCCAGTCGTCTCTTATATCTTTCTCCATGCTATCGTCAGTGCCATCCTAGAGATCTGAATGGCGAATATCTATTTCTAGGAAGTTGGATACATAATAACGCGGTGGGTTTTCTAATTACAATGAAGGCCTGGCTCAGACTAGGACAAACTAACAACATGTAAGAAAGGCTTTTGTTCCATAGAGAAAGCCTTATCTATAAAGGTCAAGCATTCCTAGTTGCAAAGGGAACTGCCCACATGGCATAGCTTGCTTTCACTGGCTTTCTGATTAGACAGTAAGTAGGGCATTCTCACACAAAGGCATTTCTCTATTAAATGAAACATATATCAATCTTGTATGGTTAAAATGCTTTCATGATGTTAAGATATGCAGAGAGCCTGGCTCCATGACAACGGATAATATTTTGTCAGATGGAAAGGTCAGATGAACATATGTAGCAGCACTGCTTCATTAACAAAGGGGTCACTGTTATTATAGGTTAATGTATATCTTTATGAATGTATGCCTGTAAACATGAGCTGTACATTTCATAGGCAAGTGTGTCCAAGATGTCCAATTATTTTATTTTCCACAAAAATAAATTATATTTACGATTGTGAATTATCTATTGCACCATATTGATGCTGGGAGAAAAAATTTAATTTTTTTTTAATTTAAAAAAGTAGGATTTCTAGATTACATCTGGCAAAATTGCCCAAATCCAAGCTAAGAGACAGCAGTTGACTAAACATTGTACATCAATCCAGGTAACTACAAAATATAACACTTAAATAATTTAACCATTTATTTCATTATCTTTGCTAGTTTGAATGAAATGTGGGAAATTGCCTACTTATATGTCTACATTTCCAATCTGATGGAGTTGTCACTGAGCTCAGCTAACACTGCCAGAGATAACTATATTTCTCTTTTATGCATTTTCTGCCTCTGTAGTGTGTATAAATCAGTGTTTCAAAGCTCAAATCCAACTTCGGGTTTTTACTTTGTTTCTATAGAGACACTTTAGCAACCACCCCTAAACAGTGAAAGAGCATTGTAAAAACGAGAAAAAAAGAAAAAGGACTTCCTTCTTCAGTCTCAAGGAGCGGCTGTAACCTTAGCAGAATCATGAAAGTTGACAGTTCATTTTTCACAGGGTCATAGATCGACGAGTCTTATAAAGTAATGGGCTTTTGGGAGCCAGCTTTATGAGAGCTAAGATAGTTAAGAGACATGTGCAGGAGGTGGCACGGGGAGCTGAGGTCCTGCTCTGACTCATCTAGGGTTATTCCCTCCATGCTGTGGAGCGGGAGGGAGGCGCTGCACTCCCAGTAATATAAACGTGTAATAAAGATTAATCTGTTGCTAGTCGCCAGGCTGATAGCTTCTAAACTTGCTTGAAATAAGGCTGAAATCACTTCAGAGCCAATCTCGAGACCTTTAGTGAGTGTCTGAGATTCCTTTGTGGGTGTCAGGAAAAAAAATGTATATGTGTTTGTCTTGTGTGTCTGGTGTTTATGTCTATGCAGTGCTGGGAAAATTTAATTTATGTTTCAAACACGTGTGCATTCATGAGTTTTTATGTGTGTGGTTTTCTGCTGGTATAGGTGTCTGTTTTTTGTGCTTTACAGCAGTTTCAGTGCCAATGGGGGGTTAATACACTCACCAGGTGCATCTGGCCTCTTCATGCCCCCTGTGGATGCTCCACCTCCCAGGCCATTGAATGCGGGGAGGTTGTCATTGCTGTAGGCTCTGAGGACAGACAGCATGTTCATCTGCTGCTCTAGGTGGGTCTGCTGCTCGGCCTTCAACAGTCCTGGAGGACCTCCAGGAGACAGGAGGCCAAGGCCCTGCTGCCACTGCTTCTCCAGCGCCAGAGCTTGGTTCTTGGGTTGCGGAACCAGAGAAAGTGGTTTCATGGCAGAGGAAGATGCCGGCAAACCAGCTCCGCTCCTTGGGGGCAGAGAGGAGTCATCTTGGAGTTGTTTGGGGTGGTTCTGGAGGTGGTCTGAAACTGGGCTTTCTTCTTCTTCTCTCTCCATGTCCATTGGCCCATGCTCATCTCTTTCTTCTTCCTCTTCAGCCACTCCTCCTTCCTCTTCCTCTTCATCAGAGTGATTCTGTTGCTGCTGTCTCTTCGGGGTGGTTGAGGGGGTATCACTGGCACTGCGCACCCCAGCCTTTACAACCTCATCTTCTGATCCAACCTGATCCTCTTCAGTGTCTCCACAGGAGCCCCTCTCACCGATCTGGTCATCACCGGCTGAAGATGCTCCTCCAAAAGCCTGGCTAGGTAGGTCCAGGCTCTGCTCTATTGGGGCTATATACCCTTGAAGGCCCTGGTTTGCCCTCGGGGATCCATCATACAAACCACCAAACCGCCTGTAGAAGTCACTCTGGAAAGGGTTATAGGGCTGGTCCATGTGGTTGTTCCAGCCTCCCTGGGTTTTCTCTCCATCTCTGTCTCCATCTTTGTCAAGAGCCACACCAGAGGTCTTGGTGTTGGAGGAGTGAATGGAGGAGGTTGTTGGAGAAGCCTCTCCATGAAGCTCCTTGCCTGTATCAGACCGCTGCGGTTGGGCCTTGCCCAGGTGGTTGGCCTGGAGGTGCAGAGCCATGAGCTCCAATGAGGAGGTGGAGAAGGAACAGAAGAGGCAGCCATGCCATGCCACATTATCGTGGATGGTGACTGAAGAGCCAGGGAGAGAACCAGATGCAGACTCAGGCCGGACTGACACAGACAGATCAAGGGGTTCATACTGGGACCCAGGTTTGCCAGGCTCTGAGTTCTGTTTGGCTTCAGCCTTTTCCTCTCTTTCCTGCTCAGCTGAAACAGCCCGCTTTGCTTTGGGCTCACCATTATCATGGTAGCAATGGGCCTGGAGCTGGACTGGACTCTGGTTGTCCTTCATATCTTTCTTCATGGAGCTGAGGACGAAGTTGTCCATGAAGGCCTGGAGAGAACCTTGAAAGTGGGCTCCGTTTCCCATCATGCTTTGGTAGGCCCTGCTTAGATCGGAGAAGCTATCTGTCGCTGTTGAGACCAGGGAGGAGGGGCCATCTGCGGTCTTCATGTTCTCAGCTGAGACGGCAGAGTCAAATCGGCGGTCTCCACGCTCCCGCTCACGATCTCGGTCATGCGGTGACATCATGCCAGCAGACGCCCACTGATGTGGCAGCAATGGACCTGCCCTGAAGTCTAGGTTGGGAGGCATGCCCTTGAAAACATTACGGAGGACGTCTGGTCGGGCAAAGATTCCGCCACTGGCTGTCTTCCCGTGATCCTCTTTGTGGTCAGAAGAGGGGGTGTGGCCAGAGGATGGGCCTGAGGTGGTGGAGCCATTTTGGCGCTCACGGTGATGGCGCTCCAGGTGGTACTTCAGACTGGCAGACTGGGTGCCGGCATAGTCACAATGAGGGCACCGGTAGGGTTTCTCTCCTGAGAGGCCAAGAAAGAGACAGAGAAACAGAATGGGAAAGACAGGGAAAACAGTGAATAATTAACCTGATTATTAGATTGACTGGATATCAAAATCTATTTATTGGAGCAGGGAATGTGGACCCTAGGGTCATGTAACCTCCCTGAACAAAGAAAATTAGGTCAAATGAGTAGAGCTCACAAAAAAGATATGCATTTCATTAACTAATATGAAATAGAGAATATTTAGCAATTGCCTCGCTTTTTTCTGGCATCAAAACATATGCAATTTCTAACTCCTGAAAAAATGATGAGGGAAGAAAGTGAAAAAATTTAGTAAGTAGAAGTTTAAAAAGAAAAGAATAATCACAGAATTAAATACACACTAAATAAATATATAAATAAATAAACACAAAGTGATAATGAACAGGATCCTGCATTCAACCAACAATCCCATGTCTTTCCTCTTCCACAGACATCGGCTCTGCTCCACTCATACGTGCGCATGTGTTGTTGTGTGTGTGTGTGTGTACTGGGACGAGGGTGGGGGTATGGAGTAGGCATCTGAATATGGGTCGATCCAGCTCGATCCAGCCCCGCCAAGTGAGCCATCACTCACATCAACACCATAAAAAACATTTCACCATATGGTGCTTTCAGTCCACTACAAGAGATAATATTTTCAACTGACAACACGATGCTATCTGTGTTTGCACGGGTAAGGGCTGGGGCTGAGGGTGCGGCTGCTGGGTCTGTGTTTGTGTGTGTTTCTGTGCATCTGTGCATGGATGTGTGTGTGTGCCTGCAGTGGGGTCATCATGCCTCTTTTCTGGCCTTGTTTGCTGTCTGTCCTGTGCCTTGGCGATGAGAGTGCAATTTCTCGGACATTCCCTATTTGCAGTTTATCTTGAGAAGCATAAATCAGCCGCGCCATGAGATCTCCCCGATGACTGCCACACTGCGGTGCACTGAGAGCAAAATATGGATGATACACTACGATGCAAAAATAAGTCAATGAGTATTCAAAAAAAATAAGAAAAGAAATGTGCAGGAAACATATGTGAACCACATGCTTGTTGCAGTGAAGCCCTATGATAAAGAACAATATGATTCACTACAGGACACACAGATCAAAGAGATTTATATTGTGGTAAAAGAGGGGTGAATCTGTCGTGTAACATTTACATATATTTATTTATGCTGCGCATCCATATTCATGAATATTCTTGATAATGGTATAACACCAGCATTATTCTGAATTATTCCAGAAGTGGATCTTCCATTGGAATGATACTTATGTTGAAATAGAACACATCCTGCTAGCAATTATAATAGGCTTGGAGTCTGAGCCAGATTTGGATTCATTAAACAATGAACAGAGAGGAAAAAAATGCTAAGCTTGATTTTTTTTTTTTTTTTTAATATATACATATAAAAAGTTACCAGAGTAGAATTTCTGTTATAGGGATAACAGTGAGTGTGGGAAAAGAGAGGGGGTGTGTGGAAAAAGAAATAAAAGGGCATGCTTGTATTGTTTTGTGTATGCACATTTCTATATATACAGTATATGGCCATAAAATGTTTAGATTATACACATGGAAACCATTTTATAAAAGGGAAAAAAAAGGCATTGTTACGCAAGGCTGGTTTGAATGATTTAAGTCGGGCTGTGTAGTAAATCATGGATATAATTAGCAAATGGCATACTGCTCAAGTAATTTATCATTATTTAGAGGGCACCATTCCAGAAAAAGACTCTGCGATCTGCAGACCTACTGCAGAGTTCTCAAATACAGGGCCACAAACACCAACTCAATACAATATTGATACAGGAGAGAAACGGATAGGAGGGTATACAAAAGAAAATTGAAGGTGGAAATGTTGAAGAGAGCAGAGAGAAAGAATAAGAGAGACCAAAAAAAAAGGAAAAGGAGCATGCAGAGAGACAGATAGCCCTGACTATAGATAGAAAGACAGTGATTTGATATCTTTTCTCTTACGCTAGAGTGGCTATGAGGCATAGAGTATATTTAAAATAAACCATACGAGATGAGCTTTTAACCCAATAAGTGCTTCTCCTGTGAGCTGCCGAACAGAGGCTCAGTGCTGATTTAATAAGGAAACGTCCCTGATGCAAATGATCATTCTCAATTCCTCTAACTGGACAAAATGATATTCTAGGAGCCAAATTAGACAGAAATTAGACTGATCTGATCTTTTTTTTTCCTCCTCTGTCTTTTCTTCCCTTATACGAGGTTGTTAATGTTCATGAGGGGGGGTTAATGTACCATCTACATATCTAAAATGAGAATGAAAAGCACAGAATATTGTATGTTTGACACTCCTTTGATGTTTACAGGGTATGGCAAACTGAAAATAAATACAAACGCACTCAGAGAGTTATCAGTTTATTACAGTTTTGCATTAGAATTAAGCATTTAAATATATCCGGAGCGAGGGAGACAGACGACAAGTACATTTTCTGCATGTACTCGTGTTTACGTACGTGTGTGTACACCATTTGGAATGTGTGTGAACACATGTTTATGCATGCTTGTGAGGGCCTGAGCTGTGTGTATGTACGTGTGTGTGTTTGTGTCTTAGAGGGCCATTTGGACTGGCTAAGACATCTGCTCCATCATACGTCAGGGGCCTGGTGTGACATCTGGGGAATATACTGTATCCTGCCTTGCAACATTACACACAATTTACTGCTAAAGGTCATTATGTACCCGTTAATCCACTTTTAATTGATATCAGCGCAAACAGCACAACCTCCCAGCCACATGACAGATCACTGCCGCCACAAAGCCAGAAAATTGCTATTTGGGAGTTAAAAATAGAACGGTAAACTTTTTTGCTTGTGTCCGTCTTGGCTTTGTTGAACTACTTTGGACATTCTGTTCCCGACAAATTGAATGATAGAAGGGCAAGAAATCCACCACTGCAGCTTTCTTAGCTTTGACGTGAAAAACTAGAGCTCATAAACATCTAAGTGACACCTTTGTGGCTATAAATCATCCTCCTCCTGATTGCTGCACTGGGATCTGCTCCTCCGCAGTATGTTTGCACTTCATGTTGCATGTACTGATTTCATCTGGCTTTGTGTGAATTGTGACAGTGCCATAGAAACAAGTAAAGATAAATACCCCAAACCTGTACAGAGGGGCAATTAAAATGGCTTAATAGATATGACATACTGGAAGATGAATTTCCATTTGGCCGGAAGGATGGAAAAAAAACACACCAGTTGGATGTTTGAGGGAATGAATAATGGATAGAAGCTGTTTTACATCTGTTTTAAGTATATCTGCTTCATGGTTAGTGGTGAATTGAGAATGCCTCTAATACTGTCAAGGTTAACAGTTCAATTGCCTCAGAGGGAAAAGCGACACCATAGATGCACTCAGGAACTTTATATAAATGTATCCACTCAATGGCAAATATGATACATCAAAGGATAAGGCTGGCATTTTCAATATTTTTTCTTATTATCAATGAATCCCATGAATAGAACAACAATATCCATCCAAGCCTATTAAAGAGGATCAAGATAAATCTTTGAAAACAGCTCACAAATATATTGTCCCTTTGAAATAAAATCCTAAAACAGCTGGTAGTTTTTGGCAAATGTTACTCAAACAGGAGTAAATGTGTTGGGGGCTCTTTTTACCTGCGGATTAATCCCCATTTGGTTCTCTGGTGAGTATTTACAGCACTAGGATGGTGTATGTGGGATTGACTCAAAACATATTACAAAGACTGTGTTCCTTGTAATGAATTAACATGTCACCCAGTGCTAGAGTGTGTCTCATTGATGTGTTTTTAATAGTGTTTGGACAACAATAGAGCTCTGTGCACTGAGGAATAAGATATATCAGGCTTTGACTACTTGGTAGTGGGATCAATTCATTGTTGGTTTTGGTCCTTTCATGGGATTTGTTGACAATGAAAAATATATGTTGAATATTGCCAGCCTTATCCTTTAAGTAAGAGGTTAGTGGTGAGTCGAGCATGCTGCTAATACTGTCAGGATTAACAGTTCCATTGCCACAGAGGGGCGACTCACACCATAAATGCGTGATATATGCATGAACTTTGTGTATCAGCGTGCACCAAATGGCAAAAATATATTAAATTTAGCAGTGTCATTGTCCTGAAGATACTGTATGAATTTGAAAAAAGAAAGCACTGAGAAGAAATGCATTAGGAGGGAGATACTCAAATAAAGAGGAGAAAAGGGAGGAAGGAGGAGGCGAAGGAGTGAGAGGAATGGAGAGGGAGATCACAGGTCCCTCTTGATTCATCCTGATTACAAGGTTAGGTTAAGGTTAAGTGACATGGGCAAGTCCTGCCTCTCCCCTTTCTCTTCCTCCCTCTCTTTGTCTCCCCCCCTCTCCTCGTTTAAAGGTGAGCGGGGACTCTTATTGGTTATGCGGCCCTGCCTGAAGTTATGTGTGGCTATTGTCAAGAGCGAGGACCTTTTTATTTTTTACACACAGCTGCTTACTGCTAAATAGTGCCTTGTCCAGAAGGGGACAATCTGGGCCTCTAATTGCTGTCACTGAAGCCTAGATTCATTATGTGACTTTCCCATTAAAATGTGAGCATTAATTTGTATAATGAAATATCACCCTCTGCAGTGTGTTCATTAGCTGTGGCCCCACACTGTAGCACCACAGCCGCACAATGTTAGCTACCTAGAAAACTGTGGTTAATTTTGCTAATGGATATTTTCCCACTCACTGTTCAAGAGGAAATTAATACTGTAACATTAGCTCTTTAACTTTTGGAGAAATTTAAATTCACTTCATTCCTTTCAAGCTGGTGTTAGCCGCTCATTAATCTCTGCGTTGCGTTGCACAATGCTGCCTCGACCGCAACTCCATTGTGTCACTCACATTGCATTAGGATGAAGGGGAGCTTGGCTGTCATCTGTGAATTTCTCTGCATTGTCGCCAGAGCACAGAGAGGATCTTTAGCCACTGTAAAAGTCATCTCGTGGATGTAATCAGGATGTCACAGTGGAGCTGGTATGATTAGGTTATAGGAATGATTTAAAGGCCACATGTTGGGGATGCATCAAGCTGTTTTTCTCTCCACGTGCAGGAGACTATGCTGAGGCTGTGCTTAGAGGGGCCCACATCCAGAGATGCATTCCATTCCAAAAGACAACATCCTCAATAACCTTTCTCACTTTTACTCCAGGGCTAAAGATTAAGCCTTTTATTTTATTGTAATTTTGAGATATGAATGGATACATGTAAAATACACTGTGTGGATGAAATTAGATGGGCTCACTTGTCTGTGTGTGTTTTGCCAAATGAGTAAACGCCAGGCCTGGGTTGGTTGAGGTCTCTGCTTCCTCCATGATGAAATATGGCCCTCATGGGTATCCTTACTGTACTACTCAAAGCAGACATAACTCACCTCTCTCACCATCTGATAGCAGATGCCTCTTCCTGAAAACCACCATCATGCCTGGCTGTGACCTGGATGCACTATTTAACATAGGGACGCTAATTATGTGAGTCTACACCAGACGTATTAGCATTCTACAGTACAAAGCTCTTGCTCTGATTCTTCTCAAGATCTAGGGTATAGTATGTGTTTCTTATTAAGGAAAGCTGTGTAGAAACTTAACAAAAAGGTCACGACACGACACCTATGTATAAAATACATAAATTTTTCCCAGTTCATATGATTGTGTTGGGTCCAGTGACAAAAGTCTATACTATCTTATCAACAATATGTCCAATGCCAACCTTCAGTGTGTAGCGAGGTGGAAAACAATGGTGTGGGAGTCTAACCTACCATGTTAGATGTTACAGAAATCAAGAATATGAAAAACATTCGCGTTGAACATAATCCAGGGTTTTGCAGAATTAATAATAAATAAATATAACCCTCCCTTTATTATTAGCATTTCCAGCACTTGGATTGGAAGGTTCCCAAATATCACAATTCACTCATTCCAGTTTGGAAACTCCCTGCGAGACAAACTGAGAGGTGGAAAATCACCTTACAAACTTACACTTTACACACGAGGCCCACCAGCTAGAACCAGGCGTCCTTGCTGTAAGGTGACCTCCGCGTGGTCTAATTGTGACTTTAACCTGGATAGTCAGTGGGGCGTTTGTACCTTGCAGAGGGTTAGAACCCTGGCTACTGTCCACAGTCCACATCATTACTCTGACTGCAGCCTTAACCTCCCAGTAACAACCAGCGGACAGACTGTCACAAACTGCCTGAGCCCTGGTTGGTGAGATGTATGGGCAGAGCTCAGAGGGTTAGGATGCTTGACTGAAAAATAAAGCTAAATCTATTAGACACATCCTCTCACGCATATCCCTAAACTGTGGACAGGCCGGCTTTGTTTTGGCTAGAAAGTTATTGAGAGTTAGCGAGTGTGAAATTGCCCTCCGAGTGATGTCATCGGAGGACACTGAACCCTTGTTGTGTTAATTAGAGCTCAATGAAATGATGAGTATGAAAAAAAACTGAATAATAACAGGGCCATAAGCCTCAATGAGGGACACTGTTGGAAAACGCATATTCCTACATGTAAATAGTTGTATTTATTTGTCTTTATGTCAATTTGAAGAGCATGCTTTACAATCTGACTTCTGATGAGACTGCACAGAAAATATCTGTGGACTAAACAGGGTAATGATTTAGGTGAGAATTACAGTATGTGTTAGTGATGAACTGGGATCACTGGGTTCTTATGGTACTGCTTATTTTCAGAACTTTGTGATACTGTGATTTGGAAACTGTGACCATCTGTGCACTTAATTTTGATAGAGGTAGTCTGTACTGTAAGTAGGTTTCTCATTCCATTTTCTTTTCTTTCTTTGTGTGTCTTTCTTTCTAGTTTTGTTTTTAATCTTGAAATGTATCTTAACATACTGCTTTTTAGTCTGGCATTAAAACAAATCCAGATGAAGGGCTTCCCAGAGACAACAAATGCAGTGTCAGTTACAAAAGTAATATGCAATCAATTCATTTGCATCATATCCATCATATCAGAGGCAGATAGACTCCAATATCTGATTAGGGCAATATTCATAAACCAATATGTCAGGCTAACCCCAGAAGGAATGTCAGTACAAGCAGTGGAGTAAATTTTGCATGAAGTACAATAAATGTTTAATTGCTGGAGAAATGCGGTCCGTGCATTGCAGAAGTGATATCGGTGGATGTACTGACCTGTGTGTATCCGCAGGTGGACTTTGAGATGATGGGAGGTGCGGAAGGACTTGCCACAGTAGGGGCAATCCTTGGAGGACGAGCCCAGACTCCGCTCGCGATGCTGGGACAGAGACGGCTGAATGCTCCCCGCCGCCTTCCCCAAGTCCTCCCCGACATCTGGAGAGACAGCACAAGGAGGGAGAGACAAATGGAAGGTGTGTTGAGTGCCACTTCAAACCAGCCCTCCACACATCACAAAACAACACGTTCTTTTTTTCCCCTTTCCTTTCTTTCTCCTCTGTCTGTCTCTCATTGTCCCCCGTTTTTCCCTCTCTCAAATGTGCGAACACCACACAAAGTCAAACGCATCAAACGGGTTCACGGGCCGCGCTATTTTCCTCCCTGACAGAACGCTGACAGTTCATAAGCTTTTCAGTTTCTTTAGAAACACCATAGTCCTGAGATACACCCCCCCTCCCCCCAAACACACACACCCTCAACACCACCGCCACCTGCACCACCACCGCCTCTCCTTTCTCCTCCTGTTTTTCTTTTTTTATCCTCTCTATCATCATCATTCCTATTAAGCATATGCTGGATTGCAGTGGAAATTAACAATGCAAAATAAGACAGGAAGAAAGAGAGAGATAGATTTGGCTATGTCAGCATCGCAGGATCTCCTCGCATCTCCTCCTGCGACCTGATTTTGACAGGTAGCTGTCAGAGATATGATAGGGTGATAACGGTTTTGACCCCGCCCTCCGCCGCTTCCTCCGCACGCCAAAAAACGATGATGCACAGTTTAGTGCAACAGCAGTCTGTTATCAACACAATCACCTCCCGAATATGAATCTAAAATGACTGACGACAACCTGGGAATGTGTTGACAGCAGCATAATCTGAGGTGAGGGTGTCATCCTCAGATTGTACACACTGGCCTTGCTGTACGGGTGGTTAAGAGCCTGTGATGTGCTGACAGTCATGAGTGCAGAATTTAAAGGCCCGAGCGACACAGTTTAGTTCAAAACAAAGGGGGGAGAAAAAAACTTGAAAGAAACAAAAAGGAATACACAACAGATGCTTGATATGTCTTGTATCTTGTAGCTGTTAAATTAAAAATATCTGTACCAGTTCCAATAGCATTTGATGGACGTCGCCGTGCAGGAGGTTCAACAATGCCGAACTGTCACGACAGATTTTACGGATTTTATTGCAGTAAAAGAATCATATAAAACGCTGGGTTTTTTTTCTTTTTTTGTGCATCAACATTTATTCATCTAAGTATACTGGCAGGAAGGAACTGGAGAAGTGATGAACTTTGAGGTCGAGAACAACAGTGACACTTATCTCTTCTTTGCTGAGGTGAAAGAAAAGAAAAAACAGATGTACAGATGAAATATAGCCATGACTGATGGCTACATCATTTCATCATAAACACACACAAACACAGTCTGTGGCCTCCGCTGTGAAAAATTATTTTGCATGCCAGTGTGCACGTGAGTCAAAGAAGCACAAATACAGTTAAAAAATGTTATTTATTTTCTAATCTGGCGCATGATTTGGTATGTGCGTAGGGAGGAGGGGTTGGAGGCCAGAAAAAGAATCAAAATCGAGCAACCCACTTAGGCAACCACGCCGCACAATACGGAGCATTTTTTAACAGTAGCCTAATCTTTTCTTTTCTGTCGCCAACCACCCCCCCCCCCCCCACCCCACCCCATTCCACCCCTCCTCTGTCGGGGAGTCAAATAAGGTTTACAGAATGGAAAGACCCAAGTCAGCAAGTCCTCTTCCACACTGACACTAAACACACAACTCCATTCAGCAACGCCGCTATCAGGCTGAAGGCTATTTATCACAACTGAAACTGAAAGGCAACCTAAATGTAAGTCAGTGACAATGTGCAGATACTAAATACCAGCTGCTTCTACTTGGGCTTGGCAACTGTGTGGTTTAATTCTGTGTACTAGGGAGGAGAAAGAAGCCGGTTAGGCTTTTAAAAGCAGATGTTAAACTGTGGATCTTGGTTTAAAATGATCTCACTTTTTGCATGATTTTAAATGATGTGTGTGTGAGAGAGTAAGAGAGGTGGAGAAAAAAATCCTAAACAGAGGGACATTTAACAAGGTTGTCCATTATTTTCACCTGTGACAGGGAGCGGGGATTGACCCTCCAGAAATTGAATTAAATGACAACTAATAAAATTTATTGAGTTGTTAAAATGGAACATTGAAAATGGTTCTGTGTTTCATTATATCTACTTAAATCCACTCAAAAACTGCAACATTTTCATGGAAATTCTGTATTCTGTAGTATTGGCCTGCAAGTTACGACATATTGCATAGCCTGATGCAAATTGCACTAAACACAAATTGTATGTAAAATATCACAGGTGAAAATATAATTTCCTGCATAATTTCAGCACTATGTGAACACATCAGCTGCACCTACCCGCCCCCCCTCTTTTGCATTTTCATTTGAATGCATTTAAAAGACGGCCTGTAGACAGAAAATAAATAAATAAAAGCAAGTACAATTCCCCCAGTGCTTGGTCCAGGACTGCACCATACTGTAGCCATAGTCGCCTCCTCATAAACATATTTCGAGCGGTCTACTGTACAGATCCCTTTTTGGCAAAGATTCCCCAGATCGTGTAACAGACAGTGGCCCACCTGCCCACCCCAGATGGGGCTAAAATTAAAAAATCCAAAACACAGATTAGAAGCAGGACAAACACCAGACCACACTTCCAAACGAGTACACACACACACACACACACACACACACACACACAACACACACACAAGCTCTGCATGTCTGTCTCTCTCTGTCACACACACACACACACACACAGACACACGTCCTTGTGTGTCAGGGTTAATAGTGCTCCTGTAAGAGGAAGACACACTACTGAGAGGATGAGAGTGTGCTCTCCTGGCATATAACAGCCCTTCAATAATAAATGGGCTTCACACATTCCCACACACACACACAGTACACACTACAAAAGAAAGGTAAAACAGAACTTTGGGACGTACTTCCTTGCTCCTCTGAGTGTGTACGCACGTGATGTGAACCTATGCACACGTGCACCTATAGGTACGCATATGTCTGAGACTGCACGTCACCGGCCGGGTGTCCAGCGTGCTTGTCTTTAATCAGTTGACTGATCCGCAGCTTTTAATGCGGCTGTTCCAATTACTGTAAAAGTCATCCTGCTCCATATAACCACAAATATTGACACTTTATTGCACAACACATTTATGACATTTTGAAGGTCACCCCGTATATTAGGCATCATCGTTCACAGCTGGGTGTGCAATGTGGGGAAAGACTCTCGATCGCTTGTTGACACCCAGCCGTAACTATCCTCCGAGTATTGATTTTCGCTCTCCATCTTTCATCGTTTTTTTTCATGCAAAGGAGATTCACTGTAGGACACGCAACATTAAAGTGATTGTCACAGGTGAGCCTTTGGCTTTTTATGTAAAAGCCTGTAAAGGCCACCTACTATTATGCTTTCACTTTGCTCACACTATCGTACAATTAAGAGGACCTGATGTTTTTTTTGTACTTGCATTCAAAATCTTTCCGTTAAACCATTTTGATAGAGTTGCTAGAATTCTGCATTTGAGGAAAGAAAAACTGGCATTAGGCCATCATTGAGGGCACTAAAAAACACACTAATAAAAATTGTACAGGGCTGGCAGGTTTGCTCCATATCTATACAATGGCCAATAAAGTCAATAAAAGAAGAATGCTTTATGAAAACATATCTACAGTTAAATGAATTGACGAAAAGAACACAAAAAAACTAAGAAAATCATTACAGGTTCTCCAGATGTTGATTTTTCTGTAAATGCGGCAGAGAAGGATTCTTTAGGAATAAAACACTTTCACTGATTAGTAATTTGATACTTAATATTTGATATGTAATATTTACAAGCCAATGCATCTCTCTCATCTAAATTTGTTGCATGTGTCAAAGGTGGGTTGACATGTTTTATTTCCTCATTGATCCCCACAAAAGATCATAATTCATATCAAGAATAAAATCACTAAAGAATGCCTTCTGATGAAACATTCGAGCCACTGCTCCTTCTTTTTCCCCCCTAAATCCTCCCATCAACTCAAACATCCAAACAGTTTGAATCTGTCGTCTACGAAACCCCTCACTCACCTCTACCCCAGGAAAAACATGACATACGCAGAACTGTGACTGCGCTAGTACAAGAATATCACAGAGGGAGGGGGGAAAAAAGAGAAATACATGTATAATTCAGCTATATCTGATCTGAGACCAGCTCCTCTCCCCTCTGCCTTTACTGGTGTCACGGCGGCGTAATGGAACATGCCAGAACAAAGGCTCTGAGATCAGATTGGAGCAGAGTTGAGCAGGCCATCTGGGAGGCAGGCTGAGTATCAGTCACTCTGCCTGCTGTCTGCTGCACTCACACTCCCCTCTGAGAAACTGTGTGCGAAAGTGCAACTGTGTGTGTAAGTGTGCGTGTCTGTGTCTGTGTCTGTGTGTGTGTGTGTGTGTGTGTGTGTGTGTGTGTGAGACACCTCACTCCCTTCCGACCGCACGTCACCAGGATCTCGCAACGGATCGACCGATGCATCGCCACCGCGGGGATACGCCACCAGGGCAGCCTCCACGACTGACTGACAAATATATAAATTGATAAGGATCTGTGAGTGTGTGTGTGTGTGTAGGTGTGTGTGTGTGTGTGTGTGTGTGCCAGTGCTCATGTGGGTACCCCTGGGATGGGGCACGGTGCCTACTCCTTTACAGCAACCACACCCAGTTTGGAGGACAAAAAAAAAAAAAAAAAAAGGGGAAAAAAAAATCATCAACAACAGCAAAAAATAAACAGCAAAGCCAATGATTGTGTGTGCGTATACGGATGCCGGGGGGGTGCGGCTTGGTGGGGGGAGATGGTGGGAGAGGGTGGAAGGCAGGGGGGGGTTTGCCAGTTCCTTAATGGTGCTCTTTCAATCACACTTTGCACTCTAAACGTTCTGTGGTTTTGATTAGTATGATATCACTTTCAGGAAATAAAACTAGGGGGAAAAAAGCACATCAGTCATAAAAACACAAGATGTTTTGCTTCTTGCCCGGCCATTATTCTAATGCGTCACGTGACTCCCGTCGAAGCCCGCCGGCCTCTCCCCGT